TAAATAATGTGGGTTGGGGGGGTGGATAAGGCCCCCAGAAAGCAGGACGGTTTTTTTGTTTTTGTTTTTGTTTTTTGAGACGGAGTCTCTGCTCTGCCACCAGGCTGGAGTGCAGTGGCAGCCATCTTGGCTCACTGCAACCTCCGCCTCCTGGGTTCAATGCGATTCTCCAGCTTCAGAGTAGGTGTGACTACAGGTGCATGCCACCACGCCCAGCTAATTTTTGTAGTTTTAGTAGAGACGAGGTTTCACCATGTTGGCCAGGATGGTCTCGATCTCTTGACCTCGTGATCCGCCCACCTCAGCCTCCCAAAGTGCTGGGATTACAGGCGTGAGCCACCACGCCCGGACGCAGGTTTGTTTTTAAGAACTAAATGTCCTCAGTTCTACAATTTGCAAAGCCAGGTTAGAACGTAGAATGTAGAAATATACTACAGGTGGAAGCCCATTACCCCTAGGCTGAAGACACATCAAAACTGCTATGCTGCATCAATGCCTTTTTATGCCGCCCTGGGCTGTTTACTTGTTATCTGCTTTATGGGAATAATTTTTAATGTAATCACTGTCAGGGGTTACAAAGGAATCAGGAGAATAAAAAGTGCCTTTTCTTTTTCAGCTGGATAAAATATAAAAGTCATCTTTTCTTTCTTTGATGTATCATGGATTTTGTTGTTATTTAAGAATGTGGGCATTTCCTTCTGGGCTTTTCAGGAGGAGTGCTTTACCACTTTTCACCATGTGGGGGCTCTGCCCAGCTGCACTATTGAGCGCAGTTTTGCCCATTCTCTGATATAGGACTAATTCCTAGGGCTTCAGTGATGCTGTGGGCATTTTTGCTGCAAGATCTGAAGCCTGCGGACAGCCATCTCTGGTGAGAACTTAATTTTGGATACTTTGAAAATTCAAGGATTTGTATTTCGTTCCTAGTTTTTGTTGAAGGCTTAGGCCCAAGGAGTATTTTTGAGCTGAATTTTGCTCACTACTGAGGCCCTGTAAGATTCCATCTTCATTAGAGCTGGACCTACACACCACTGGGACCTGTCCTTGGAAAGATGCTCCAATACTGTTTATTTGCCAGATTCTCTTTTAGCTTGATTGCCTGCCAAGCAGACTTGGAGCAGTCAGAAGAAAAAAAGTATTAGCCCTAAGAAATAATAAAAGCCAAAACATTCATTGAGCACTTTTTTTGCTGAGTACTATTTAAAATAAGTCATCAAATGAAATAATTTGATCTTCATAAAACTCCTATGATGTAGGTGCTATTAGTATGCCTATTTGCAGATGGGAAAACAGGCTTCAGGAGAGAGGTGAGAACCTCCTTGCACACCACTGACTAGGAACAGAAATAGGATTTGGACCCAGGCGGTCAGACACCAGAGTCCACACCCTGGACCTCTGTGCTACACTGCCTCACCATGCCCAAGCATACCGAAAAGTGTGTGTCCTATACACTGATTCTATGGTAACTCATCTGTCGTAGGACTCTCGTTTGACTAAGACAGGTAACTAAAATTTTTTTTTAAGTGGCACTTACAATTTCTGCACATGTTGAACAGTAGCTGAGTTGTTGAGATTTCTTGAAAACTGGTCTCAGAGCTCTTTGTTTGAAACATTTGTCACAGGAGCCGAATACATTAACTAGGAAGGTCTGATCACACATCTTTCACCCAAGATGAAGCTGAAAAAAAGGTGAAAAGAAGGGAGGGGGTGTTAGAAAAGCAACGGTTTTAGCTTTCTAAAGCCTCTTCTTGCTTGTACCATGGTAGCTATTCAATGTCTACATATGGTATGCAGTTAATTTATCACCTTTCAACTATTACAACATGCTGGGTCAATACAACTCATTTATTTAATCAGTTAGAAAGCATCAGACAATAGGTTTTCTGAACCTAACGTGTCTAACTGGTTTTTTGGCAGCTGGCAGACAGAGTCAGGATTGATCCTTGCAGCGCAATATCAATTCTGTGAGGTTTCACAGTGGAAAACGTTGTTGTAATGGATGCTATAATTTAAAACTTTTAAAAACATTCCTCCTCTCAGGGTGAACTTTTAGAGTAAATATAAGGGTCAGCAAATGGTGGAGCCTGACCCCAACCAAACCCAGGAGGCTAAAGTGTGGTGTGGGTTCCCTGCAAGGCAAGCACCCACTTATTAAACATTTGACAGCCACAGACCCAAGGTCCCTGTCTGTTCACAGGGAAGTCAACAGACGGGCCCAGGCCGCTGCAGGGAGACAGCCTTGAGGCAGCACAAGCATCTAGTGGTTAAAGGGACAGGTTCTGGCTGCCTGGTCCTGGCCTGCCACTGAGTCTACTCACCTGACCTCTCTGAAGTTTGGTTTTGCTAATCTATCAAGTGGAGATCTTAAAACCTACCCTCTGGGGTTGTCAGGAGAGTGAGTCAGTGCATAAAGCTCAAGGCCAGTAATAGAGGGAGTGCACCAGCAAGGGTGTGCTGCTCTGAGTGGCAGCAGTGGTAGGAACGATGGCTGCCTTGAGAAAGAGGGACAGGGGCAGGGATAGGGTGGGGGGTGGGATGCCAAGGAAAGAATGAGCGGAGCCTGTGACAGTGGTTCAGGCAAGATGCGAGGCAGTCCTGGACTAAGGGTGAGAAAGTAACTTAATGCAAATCCTTTCAAATTATCAAGCCCAGGGAGACTTGAAAATGAGACAGCAATCACATTCTAGTCCCCAGTTTGAGCTATGTATTCATCTCTTTTTTTTTTTCTTTTCTTTTAGACAGAGTATCTCTCTGTCACCCAGGCTGTAGCGCAGTGGCCTAGCAAACATGGCAAAACCCTCGGCTCACTGCAACCTCCGTCTCCTGGGTTTAAGCGATTTTCCTGCCTTGGCCTCCCAAGTAGTTGGGATTACAGGCATGCACCACTATGCGAACCTAACTTTCAGTAGAGACAGGGTTTTGTCATGTTTCTAGGCTGGTCTCAAACTCCTGACCTCAAGTGATCCGCCCACCTCAGCCCTCCCAAAGTGCTGGGATTACAGCTGTGAACGACCACACCTGGCCTCATCTCTTCAAACTGCTTGCTATTGGAACAAGTAGCTAAAAATAACCTAATAATGCCACACTGAACTCTATAACCCACACCCTATAGTAAATGTACAGCCAATCACTAATCTATGTTATTTCTGTAAACCAATGAGAATTCCTGACAACCTCGTATCAGCCCACTCTCTGTCCCCCTTTTTTGCCTTTAAAAAATGGCTTGTAACAAAGGCCAGAGATCATGTCCAAGGTTACTTGGGTGTGAGCCATTCAGGCATCTGTCCTCACTTTGGCTCAAGTAAACTCCTTAAATCTTGTTTTGTGCTACAACTTCTTCCTTTTAGGTCCACAAAGCAATGTAGTGGATGGATTTGGACCATGCTTAGGAAAGAGAAGGAGAAGGAACTGGACTTGGTGTGTGGGGTCCAGGAAAGGGAGGTGTCAGTGCTGTGACCTATATTTCTTTGGGAGACCAAGGGGTTCTGGTTGCCATTGTTGCGATGAGGACAAAGCAGTTAATGAGTTAATAGGGAAGGGAGCAGCTGGTATGGCTCTGTCAATTTGGTAGGTGTTCCAAAGAGTGAGCTTCGTCAAGATTCAAAGAAATGACCCCCTGAACATAAAGATACTTGGGGGCACTGGTGTGAATATTCCTTTTGTTTTTTTTTGGAGATGGAATCTCACTCTGTCACCCAGGCTGGAGTGCAATGGTGTGGTTTCGGCTCACTACAACCTCTTCCTCCTGGGTTCAAGTGATTCTCCCACCCCAGTCTCCCGAGTAGCTGGGACTACAGGTGTGCACCACCACACCTGGCTAATTTTTGTATTTTTAGTAGAGACAGGTTTTCACCATGTTGACCAGGCTGGTCTCGAACTCCTGACCTTATGATCTGCCCACCTCAGCCTCCCAAAGTGTTGGGATTACAGGTATGAGCCACTGCGCCCAGCTAAAGCCTTATGGGGAAGACCCCCACCGTTACTGTTTTTTCTGAGATAGAGTCTCACTCTGTCCCCCAGGCTGGAGTGCAGTGGCCCGATCTCAGCTCATTACAACCTCCACCTCCCAGGTTCAAGCAGTTCTGTGCCTCAGCCTCCCGAGTAGCTGGGATTACAGGCACCCACGACCATGCCCACTAATTTTTTGCATTTTTAGTAGAGACGGGGTTTCACCATGTTGGCCAGTCTTGTCTTGAACTCTTGCCCTCATGATCCACCCGCCTTGACCTCCCAAAGTGCTGGGATTACAGGTGTGAGCCACCACACCCGGCCTGGTCTGAATATTTCAAGAGTCAAATTTGAGAGGGATATATTTATGGGGAGGTGACAGTGGGGACATTTCGGATAAGGAACATCTGCCATGTGGAGCCCACCCTGGGGCTGGAGAGAGAATGGGGAGCTCATGAGTTGGGCTGAGCTCCTACAGTAAAGGGGCGGCCAACACACTTCCAGAGACCTCTAGGCAACAAAAGGCATACAGGGCACCCCTTTGGGTCAACAGCTCACAAGAAAACCAGCTACCAACTGCCACAGAGTGTCCAACCTTTGCCTCTCAAAACTACCCTGGGAGGGAGGCAGGACATCTGTGTTGCAGCTGAGAAAAAGCAGGCAGATTAAGCAAGTTCAAGTTCAGCAGCAGAGCTGAGTCTGTAAGTAGTGTGAATATACTTTGGAACACTCCTTCCAAGCTAGCACGGTCAAGCTGCATGGTTTTGTCACAAAAGGTGAGTTAACAAGAAAGGGCCTGCCCTGAAGAGCCTGGCCCACCGTGGGGCTTGGTGGCTGTTGCACCCCATTCCCCAGCCCTGTAAAGGCAGCCAGCAGCAAGGTCAGGCTGAGCACTCCCAGTAATTGCATTAGGACGGTGAGCCACGAGCTGTTAAGCAAGGGAGCTGCGTCATCCATGTGGATTATTCCAGCATTTGTGCTTCCAGAAGTAGGTCAGAGAGAGAGAAGGGACGGCAGGAAAACAAACCAGGTTAAGAGATTGCTGTGTTCTGGAGAAGAGGAAATGAGCTCGACAGAAGAGCAGCTACAGGAACAGAGGGCGAGAGGAAGCCACGGCACCAAGTGGAGGAGGAATGGAAGGATGGCTGGGAGGCACGGGAGAGAAAGACAAGTAGAAAAGAGGGCCGATGTTCCGTATCTAGAGAGAGGCAATGTTTTTCTTCTCAAATTACATTTTGAATTTTTTCAAATTATAAAAGATACTTACATGATTCATTATAAATAACTGGAAACAGAGGGCTGAGCGTGGTGGCTCACACCTATAATCCCAGCACTTTGGGAGGCCGAGGTGGGTGGATCACTTGAGGCCAGGAGTTTGAGACCAGCCTGCCAACATGGTGAAACGCCATCTCTACTAAAAATATAAAAATTAGCCCGGCGTTGTGGCACAAACCTGTAATCCCAGCTACTCAGGAGGCTGAGGCAGAAGAATCACTTGAACCCCGGAGGCAGAGGTTGCGGTAAGCAGAGATCACGCAACTGTACTGCAGCCTGGGTGACACAGTGAGACTCCGTCTCAAGAATAATAATAATAAAAAAAATAAATAAACAACTGGAAACAGAAGGACAAGAAGAGGTGAAAGTAATCGCCCAAATGCCCTACACCAACAAATAACTGACCTGCTGGCATGTTGTTTTCTTCTAGTGTCTTTAGAAGGATATATGTGTGCAATTTTTAAAAAATTGGAATTGTATGCCACATGTTATTTTAACTTACATAATAGCATTTTCATCTTCATGTCATTGCATATTCCTGGAAAACAACATTTTTTTAACGGAGACTCCGATTTTTGAGTCATATGGGCCTTAAGTCATATCACATAGCTAGCATTTTAGACCTGACTGGTTAAACATGGGCAAGCTACAAACTAAATTTAAAGATTTTTAAACTGTAAATGTCATACATGTGCATTGTAGAAAGTTTGCGGGGGGGTGGAAGGTACAAGGAAGAAGATAATCACCTATAATCCCACCACTCAGAGAAACTTCTTTTTACATTTTGGTGTATGCAAGAATAGATTTGAGATCACTGACGTCATACTGTCCATTATACTGATTACGTTTCTATATCTTGATGCTTTTCACTTAGTATTTATATCACGAGCTAAATTTAATTTTAGTACATTCTGTCGTACTTACTGTCAATAATCCTTTTTATGATGAGGAAATTTTTCACAGCTAGAGCCAGTGTTTCGATGAGCATTTTGATAAGAAAGACCAAAATGCCCCATTTAACAAGATTTGACATGAAGTTGCTCTGCAGTAGGAGTTCATAGAACTTCTCAAACCTTCCCCTAATAACCTTATGCCAAGCAGACTTTCTTTGATATCTGTTTTGCCTAAATATATGGCTTAAAAATTCCCACAGAAATACATGTTTAAAAAGAACCAATACCAAAGATGAGAAAGCGAAACTTGAACCCCCATCACATGCGCTGCATTTTCACTGCCCTTATTTAGTTTGCTGTTTCTTCTTCCAGACTTTTCTGGCACAAACACAAAGATACAGCTTTGGTAGTCACGCAAATAGGGTGACTTGCTTTCTTCATCTGGCTTATTCTGTTAATACTTATAGATCTACCTTTTCTGGTAATAGGTTCAGCATTATTCTATACTATGGAGTGTCATAATTTATTAAACCAACTTCCTCTGTTTGGATACATAGGGCATATCCAGTTTTTACTTTGAAAATAATGCTTCATTAACTCAATTAAAAATGGACAAAAGGACCTTCATACACATTGCTGGTGGGAAGGTAAAATGGGGTAGTCATTTTCCAATGGTACAGCTGTGGGAAACGGTTCGGCAGCTATTCAAAACGTTTAATATATAGCTGTTACCATATGACCCCACAATCCTACTTCTAGATATATACCCAGGATAATTGAAAATATATGTTCACTGGCTGGGTGTGGTGGCTTACACCTGTAATCCCAGTACTTTGAGAGGCCAAGGTGGGTGGATCACCTGAGACCAGGAGTTTAGACCAGCCTGGGCAACATGGTGAAACCCCATCTCTACTATACAAAAATTAGCTGGATGTGGTAGCAGGCACCTGTAACCTCAGCTGCTTGGGAGGCTGAGACATGAGAATCGCTTGAACTTGCGGGGGCGGAGGTTGCAGTGAGCCGAGATTGTGCCACTGCACTCCAGCCTGGGCAACACAGTGAGACTCGGTCTCAAAAAAAAAAAAAAAAAAAAAGGGAACGAGAAAAAGAAAATGTATGTTCACATAAAAAATGTACCTACAAATGTTCATGGCAGCATTATTAGCCAAAGGTGAAAGCAACTCAAGTGTCCACCAACTGACAAATGAATAAACAAAATGTCTATCCTCCAGTAGACTGCTATTCAGCAATAAAAAAGAATGAAATTCGGACACACGCTACAACATGATCAAACCTGAAAAATACTATCCCACTATCCCATGAAAGAAGCCAGACACAAAAACGCCATATATAATATGTATTATATAATTTCACTGATGTGAAGTGCAAAGGATCAGCAAATCCAGAGAGACAGGAAGCAGATGAATAGTTGCAAGGTGGAGGGAAGAGGGAATAAGGAGGAAGGAGGGAATTGGGATGGGAGTGACTGCTTAATGGCTATGAGAATTCTTTTTTGGGGTGATGAAAATACTCTGGAATTAGTGGCAATGGTTGCAAATCCTTGTAAATAAACTAAAAAACCACCGAAATATATGTTTTTAAATGATGGCTTTTAAAACGTGAAACTAAATGTGTGGACATCATATCTCAACAAATATTTTTTAAATGGACAAAAGGCTTGCACAGTCACTTCACAAATGAGGATACTTACATGGTCAATAAACATATAAAAGTTGCTTATTATCATTAGTCATCAAAGAAATACAAACTACAACGAGATACAACTACTTATTCATCAGAAAACTTACAAAGCCTGACAACGCGAAGTGTAGGCAAGGATGCAGAGCCTGGAACTGCCTTTCTCTGCTGGTGGGAGTAGAAGTCGGTATAACCAATGTAGAAAACTGGTCAACAGGACCTACTGAAGTGAAATGCATATATTCTGTGACCAAGCAATTCCACTCCTGCATACGTACACCACAGAAAATAATGCTTATTTCCTAAAAACAAAACAACCCATAAAGCTCATAGCAGCTTTATTCACAGAAGGCCTAAACTAGAAAGACCCAAATGTTCACTAGTTGTAGACTAAACTGTGAAATGGACATAGAATAATAAAGAACAAACTGATACACACAACAACGTGGACGGATCTCAGACTTAAAACTACAAAAACCTCTTTCTAACCCCATAGCTGTACTCAGAGGCTTTCGTTGTCATGTGTCATCTGCATCAAATTTTAAAACTGACTTAGCAATTTTAAGCATGCTTAATTTCTTTCCTGATGCCAATATTAATGTTAAAAACCCTTTACTATTTCAAAATAAATTCATGTGTATTGTATAAGAGTTAGATTCAACAGATTAACAACAACAAAACCCCTCACCCATGCTCCCACCACACAGAAAGACCTGCTAACACTGTGGCCTGGACTCATCTGGATGCTTTTCTGAGCATTTCAAAAGCTGGAGTATTTTAACCAGAAGATCAGCGTGCACATACCTTCTGAAGTCAGCACTGGGAGCCACAGGGCAGACAGTGAGAGGTGAGGACTAGCAAACTGAGGTGTGAAGCACCTCGCTTGCCCACCGGCTAATCTCCTTATCTTCTCAGCCTGCTTCCTTCCTCCACTTCACTTCCATGCTCCCTCCTGGGTGCGTGCTGCCATCTGCATCCCTCACTCACCCCAGGAACCTTCCGCCCAGCCCTGCTGTGGAGGGAGACCTTGGCAGGTTTGACCTCTGTATCTGCGCCCTCACTGAGCAACCCTCACAGTCACCTGGGCTGCATGTTCTTAACATTTCTCTATTTTGATCTCCTTGTCACTGACAGCTTTGTAGAACTGATCAGGACTGTGAGGTGAGTGCCTGCCTCTTCCCATTTTTCCATACATAAACTCCTCAGTCTCCACAGGTCTCCTTGTCCCCACCATGACCTACTTTTTCCCATGCTCGACTCCCCACCACACACACAGCATCCTCCAACAGGACTTTGCTTCCTCAGTTCTCTTCCACCTCATCAGCAGCAGGATGAAGGCAGGGATGTGGATGTGTTACCTGCCCTCTGGGGCTCACAGGCCAACAGAAGAAATGGGAGACAATTCTGGCTTCCAGCCCAGGGTTAAGTGCTATGAAACAGGTATGAATCCTGAGTTACGAAAGCCAAAAATCAACAGTGATGGCTTCTCACGGTGTGGGGAAGGTCTAGAAAGGGCATGCAGGCCACAGCTCAGGATCAGAAACCCAGCCAATTCTCTGCCAAGTAGCCCCTCATTCTGACAGTGTGGAAGCCCCCTGGAGACACAGCCTGAGCCAGCACTTATGACATGTTTACTTCCTCTCTAAACATTCTAATATACTTTAAATGAAATATTACAAATCTATAAAGATTCTAGCATCTTTCAGCATAACCCTAAAGAAAGGCATAAAACTTCTGCACTTAAAAGACACATCATCTCCTCACAATGAAAGAATCTGACCCAATTCATTTGGTAATTAATTTTATTGATTAAAGTATTACAAAGTTCTACTTTTCATTTTTTCATGCACAATGTATTGAAATGAGCTAAGTGAAATCACTTATAATATGAAAAGACATTATTACATATTAGCAGGGTGATACTGCTTCATAATCATGTATTATTCCTACTCCTAAGGCACAAGTCTGTATTATAGAATCACAGCTATCACCTGTGACTGTTGGGATTCTTGGGTGGTAACAGAACAGTACTGGATCTGCGGGTCAGAGACTAGGAGTGCTGATCAAATGAGGTTCTGGGCTCTGAAAGGGAGGAATGAGAAGGTGTGCCGGGACAAGGAATAGCCAGCCAATTCCCATAAAACTTGGGAAACACAGATTTCTCAAAAGGAGATTCTGACATAATTTTTTAGTTACTTTTATGAGAGTATTTAAAAATAAATACATTGAAATGCTGATTAGAGAGAGAAAATAATTTAGGTTGCATTTCTAAACTTAGTTTTTTTAAAAAAGTTATTGTATGAAAGGTATTAAACAATAAAAAAATTATGATGAATATATTGGCAGGTAAGATTTGAAGAAAAGTTCTTTCAGAGAAGAATAAATGACATGGCAATTAAGCTTTAATAATATATTACTTTTAAATAGACATATACATAAAAATACTTCCTGTGATTCATCTCAGATTGAACATTCTCTTAAAAATTAGAAGGGTCTAAAATAAACATTTTAAAATGCAGGGCATTTTCAGTAAAAAGAGTTCATGAAAACCTCGCAACCCCAGCAGGCATGGGGCAAGAGAGCTTTTGGCAGGCCATGGTGGCCAAATGGGATTATTTCCTGGAAGATTGAGTCCTGTAATCCACTTGTGACTCTGTAAATGTACCCAGGCTCCACATGAACCTCAGAAAACTTGGAAGCCACTGTGTTCCCAGATCTCACTCCTGCCTGGTAAGGGCGCTGCCACAAGACAGAACAGATCAAGAGGCATGTGGAAGAAAACATGAGCCCTTCAGGGATTTCAGTAAAAACCAGCTGAGATTCGAGAGTGAGACATGGCTTTTCTAACTATAGCTGTGTGTGTGAATTCTTACAAAATTACAGCAGCAGCACTGTCACTGTGAGAAATGACATGGTCCATTTGGGAAAAGTTTATTTTCTTCCTTAAATCACATTCCAATTTCCACTGCCAATTAATAAACCACATCCCTCATACTGAACCTTCACTTAGCTTTTGAGGAAAAAGTGCATTGACTTTGTTTTTGAGGCAGAGTCTCACTCTGTTGCCCATGCTGGAGTGCAGTGACACAATCTCAGCTCACTGCAAACTCTGCCGCCTGGGTTCAAGCGATTCTCTTGCCTCAGCATCCCGAGTAGCTGGGATTACAGGTGCCTGCCACCATGCCTGGCAAATTTATGTAGTTTTTAGTAGAATTGGGGTTTCACCACCTTGGCCAGGCTGGTCTTGAACTCCTGACCTTGTGATCCACCCACCTCAGTCTCCCAAAGTGCTGGGAGTGCAGGCGTGAGCCACTGTGCCCAGCTAGTGCACTGACTTTTTCTCCTGCTATAACCTATTCAGAAAGCCGAGCTTGAAACTGCTAGGGATTTGAATCATTTCGAGAGCATGTGGAGAGGGGGTAAAGGGAAATGTGACTTGAAAGAGATATTTGGTATCCAACATCAGCTGTGATGAATCCTCCCGGCTGCTTAGGAGAGCCTGAAATTAGAATCAGAGGACAAATGAACATGTTCTGCTTTACTGCTACCTGAAAGTCAAGGCAAAACACAACTATCTCTAGTGAAGAACTCCTTGCACAATCACGTGAAATGACATACATCAGAGCTTTTTAACAATGGCACAATTCCAAAGGCTAGCCAGGGCTTGCAGATCAGCTCCATGAACAATTAACTTGCTCTGTTTCACTTCAGAAGTTCATTTCCCATGGGATGAGCTGACGATAAATCTGTTTTCTATTCAAATCTGTTCTCATGGCATAATTCTAAGCTCAAACATGAGTAGATTTGAAGTATTCCATTTTTATTGAATCCCTTCTTCATTCATAGGTTTGCAACCTTTTTGGTCTCAGGACCGCTTTATACTAAAAAATTACCAAGGTCCCAAAAGCTTTTGTGTATATGAGTATGACTATTGGTATCTGCCATATTAGTAATTAAAATGATTTATTAATTCATTAAAATAAGCTCAATACATGTTAAACATAAGTTTCCAAAACAAAGACAATTTAGTGAGAAGTGGCATTTTCTATTTTTGCAAATCTCTTTAATGTCTGACTTAATATATGATTCTGTTATCAAATATATAACCATATATTATATATGCCATATTTTAATATATGCCATATTATATACATGTCATATATTATATATCTGCTTTGCATTCAATATGTTGTGATATGTTATTTTGGTTGAAGTACATGAAGAAAATCCACAGGCCTGTATTTAGAAAACTGAAGTTTTCAGACCTTCCTGAAAATGTCTCAAGGACTTCCAGGGATTCTTGAGACAGACTTGGAGAACTGCTGCCCTTGAGTTCATTAGGGGAGAAACTTTAGGAATTATATAAGAAAAAATGGTTATGCAAATGATTTTAAAAGAAAAATAATCTCTGTTTCCATTCAGCCTCTGCCCATTTTCATAGTATTCAAAGATCAATAAGAAATAAGGCCGGGCGCAGTGGCTCAAGCCTGTAATCCCAGCACTTTGGGAGGCCGAGGCGGGTGGATCACGAGGTCAAGAGATCGAGACCATCCTGGTCAACATGGCGAAACCCCGTCTCTACTAAAAATACAAAAATTAGCTGGGCGTGGTGGTGCGTGCCTGTAATCCCAGCTACTCAGGAGGCTGAGGCAGGAGAATTGCCTGAACCCAGGAGGCGGAGGTTGCGGTGAGCCAAGATCGCGCCATTGCACTCCAGCCTGGGTAACATGAGTGAAACTCCGTCTCAAAAGAAACAAACAAACAAACAAAAGAAATAAGACACGTTGAAGGAATACAGCAAGGGAGTCATGATTTTGGTGTTTTTATTCCCTTCCCACTCGGACTACGGTGGATTCTGAAAATGTTCACAGGAAAATTTCCTGCTTACTTTGAGATGGGTGTCTTTCATGTGTATAGGTGGGTAAATGTACTTTAATCCTGGATTTCTATTTTTATTTTATTATTTTTGAACAGTCCTTGCAAATCCTGGATTTCTATAATGTTAATTAAATATCAACATCTTACACGATAGGAGGTAAAATTAAGAGGCACAGCCTTAAGAATCTCACCTGTACTTTGCGAACAAAGGATGGAGTCACCCTCTTCTCAAAGTCATCTATAGGTGTGTATGAATTAAGGATCTTTATGATCTGCAAACATTACACAACATTGTGTCAGACCACGCAAAATAATAACTCTGTTCATAAAATAATGGTTCTGGTCATTGGGAACCATTGGGAAGCACAGGTGGTTCTTTTAGCCTATAATTTGGCCCAGGAATCCTGTGTTACCTATTTCCAGGAAAAGACAACAAGGGGGAAAAAGTGCCACAGGGAGTAAAGGCAAATCAGACAGTCATATTGTAAGAGGGGCTTCTTCAAGCCTCCCCACCTCCCATGTGCCCACCCCTCCACATACACATTTGTGAGTTTAGTGGGCAGGGAATGCATCACAGACATTTGTCTGTATGTGTGTATGTGATTTTTTTTTTTTTTTTTGAGATAGGGTCTCCCTTTATTGCCCAGGCTGGGGTGCAGTGCCATGATCACGGCTCACTGCTGCCTCGAACCCCTGGATACATGCGATCCTCCTGGCTCAGCCTCCCGAGTAGCTGGGACCAAAGGTGTGTGGTATCATACCCAGCTTTTTTGTTTGTTTGTTTTGGTAGAGACGGCGTCTTGCTAGTTGCGCAGACTGGTCTCAAACTCCTAGGCTCAAGCAATTCTTGCACTTCGGCCTCTCAAAGTGCTGGGATTATAGCTGTGAGCCACCTTGCCCAGCCCATTTCTGTGTTTTTAAGACCTAGAGTTAGTATTTAACAAATATTAGATAAAAGGGTGGGCCATGGGTGATAGGTATGCTCCTGAGAGAACAGGCAGAATCGGGGTGCTCACAGCTGGCTAAGCCAAG